GCCTTCCTGTATACTTCTATGGTCTTCGGATATATTCTTCCTACACATTTCTATGTATGGTATTACAGCCTCTTCTACTTCTCACGATTGTGGAACTTGATTGGTTTCATTCTATTAATATGACAGCTGCGCAGGAGATGAGCCGGGTTATATTTGCCAGTGTAGAAGAACAGGAAGAGTGCACATATTTATACAGCTATATAGCTGATTGATGTTAGTATTGTAATTGATGATAATTAGTGCATGTTGTAATCATATGTGAAATGTCATTGATTGAATTTAAGTTTGTTTTATGTGTTCTTTCTCATTGATTGATTGATTTATTCCTATGTTATTAATTATATTTTACAGGGGTTAATAGACTTGTGGCTTTTCAGGTTGACATTCTACTGAAAATGTGGGTCCATCTTTAAGATTAATTCTTCTTCAGGAAACTATAAAACCCAACTTTATATGATGTGGTTTCCTGTATATTGTAAGGTGACATTTGTAGTTGGTATTATTTTTCAATCTAATTTCATAGGAATGAAAACAAGGAAGATGATGATTTTTCTGGCATGATACATGGCGCTTCGGTTTGACATTTCTACTATTTCAGTATTTTGCGCTCGTTTCTTGGCACTTCTTGTGAAATAATGTTATTCTAGCAACCTACACATGTTTATAGTTGACAAAATTGCACACATACAATAATACCTTTCTGTAAAATGATTGTGCTGCCCTCTGTGATGTACACTGCTATGGCTTACGTATTTGTCTGAGAGAAGTACAGGACATGCACTATTTTCTCTGTTGAAATGTACAATCTTTGTTTACTAAATGGCAATTTTTCAGTAGTTCATGAATTTTTATAAAATGTAGGGGCTAAATTCTTGATGCCAAATTCCTACATGTATAAGAATTTATATGCCCACTGTATTGGGCTCATGTATTGTACCGGTATATGGAACGTTAATTACAGATAAATCAGTGTGTTAATTTTTAATGCATACATGAACATGTACCAGTACTAACATTCAAGTATGGTGAGTTTTATGTACATACAGGTGGCAATTGTTGACTCAAAGCCTGCATGAGTGGGAGAATCATGGTTCTGAAAGAAAAATTAGTATAAACAAGAGATTCAATAATAGTGTGCAATTTGATGATCAACAGTTATTCAAAATAATATGCCACATGTTCATAGACATGTAAGGTTGGTTTCCAGTTTTTCATTGTTTTATACCTTTAGGAATTTCACTATTGTTATTTTACCATGGCTCATTGATTTTCATTTACAAGTTTATTGACCTTTTACAGTCTATTTTCTTGCAATACAGCCATGACTGATAAAGTCTATAGCACACTCTTGTGGCAGAAATCTGCACATGTTATTTCATAAATGGGTTCCTCACTGAACGGTTCAGCAGTAACAAGAAAAAACAACGTACACTTTAAATTATAGTTATACAACCAATACATCCAGTACTATTAAACAGTCTAGTGCCCTCTAGTAACAAAAGCATGCACAGTAAGCAATCATCTGTCACCAAACTGTTTAGCAGCTGTTGAGACAAGATTTGCAACTCTCACTCTCGCACAGTCTCCGTAGAGGAAACCAAACCATTCTGTTTTGAGTCCTGGCGGGGGACAGTCCTTCCCCTTCTTGGCTGTGACTACTCAAAAGCAACTTGTTGACTCTCCACAGTTGCAAGTTCTCTCGAGGATTTTATTGGAATATTTAACCATCATGTATGGCACTGCATTCTCGTACTCGGGTGATCTTACCCTATATCATGGTAAGAAAACAATGACTTCTGTGAAATTTATTTGAAAAAAAGTTAAAAAGTTATTTTGAATTTGAAAGATAATATATTGTGGTATATTTCCCATTAATACTACTCCTGGTTAGATACAAAGTGTTTGTCATTAATAAGGGTCAGGATGTGATTAAATGAAGGAGAAAAAGAGAATAAGAAATCATGATTTATTCAAATACTTCATTCTCATGATCTTCTTGTGAAAGTGATATTGTTATGATTTTGAAATTACTGTAAAACAAGGGTGGCCTCATATTTCCTGGAATATTTCAATGTAAAACAAAACCTTTGTCTTTTCTGTCTTGGTTTCAGGTTTTGAACATATTAAAGAAAGATATTTTTTTCTATTCAGGATCTGTTGAGGTTTGATGGAAAAGGAAAAGGAAAGTGAAGTGAAGTGTGTTTTATGGCAATATTTCCTCATCATGTACAGTAAGAAAATGTACATTGTACATGTGCATGTAGTTTATATTCTCTTAGGCGATATTTCTCTCTATAACTTGATATCTTGAGGTTGTAATTTGAAAAATGTTCGCGTTTGAACTTGTCACTTATGAAAATCTCATCTTACAGATAAGTTTTTTTTTTATAGACATTCTTGCTATCTGGCCCTGCGTTGAAAAATCTTTTCCCTCATTTTAAACTTGAAATCTTGAGGTTGTAATTTGAAAAATGTTCGATTTTGAACTTGTCACTTATGAAAATCTCATCTCAACATAAATATATAGCCCATTCCCTCTCATGCTACAAAAGTACTTTATTCTCTTCCTAAGGTGATGTTATTCTTTATCCTCATAAGAAATATATTGTTGTGGTAAGATATTATTACCTAAGGAGTTTCAGGATATGATTTTGAAAATAATGAATTGTAATTAGATAAGGGAAGCATCGTTTGGAAATCTCTGGTATATTTCCTATCTTCCTATACTGTACATCCTTTCCCCTGTATTTTCTTGTGTTTTTCAATCATGTCCGGGTCAAGTAATGATTTTTTCAGATATTCCAAAAAGATCGAGCTTGTGATTTTGAAGTTTTAATGTGAACTTTTTAAAAACGTATTCACACAATCAGAAAACAGCTACCTTGAGGTGATACGTGTACAGGTATGTCTAAAAATGTTGACTAATACTGCTATGTCATCAATGTCAGTGGTTGTCATCTTGACGTGAAGGGACAAACTGGTTTAAATTTAGAAAAAGCTGATCGTTGATGATGTGCTATTAAATGTAAAATGTACTACTGCAATTAATACAGTGTAGATGGGAAGTCTTCATAAAATATAGCATGTGGTTTACTCTGTGTATAATATGCCTACAGTTTGGTATGTACAGTACATCATTGTGCAGTTGTTAATGTTCCAGTGAAGTTTGATATCACTTTTTTGTTTGATCAATTGGTTTTTAGACATTTTTACTATCTAACTCTGCCTAAAATAAAAATTTAAAAAAATCATTTTGCCAAATGTTACACTTGAAAGCTTTATACAGCAGGTTGTAATTTAGAAAATTTTGCAAAATTTTGAAAATTTGAAAATTATTATGGAATGTTCAACTTTTACTGATATAACCCAATTTCTATCATGTTTGTATGGTACTTAATTTTTTTTTACTCGGAGATCATGTTCTTTATCCTGATAAGAAAAAATGTTGCTGTAAAATTTGAGGCGGTAGTCTAAAAAAATGGACTAATACTGCTATGTCATCAATGTCAGTGGCTGTCGCCTTGATGTGAAGGCACCAAACGGTTTAAATTTAGAAAAAGCTGATCGTTGATGATGAGCTAATGTGACAGTAACACTATTCCCCAATGTACTACTGCAGTTTAATAATAGATGAGAAGTCTACATGTTTACAGCATATGGTTGACTGTGCGTAAAATATGTTGGCCTACAAACAGTTGAGTTTGATACCAGTTTTGTGTTTGTTCAATTGGTGAATCGTAGTAAACAATTAAAGAATGGTAGTTGAATCTAATATTTTTTTGTTTTTCTTTGGAGGGGGGGGGGGGGCAAAACAAAGTAAAACAATTTGAAAGAACCCCTCCCCACACAGTTTACATGAATGAGTTGGGATTATTCTGTAATTTAATTAGCTGCTCACTCTAAAAAAAGGGTTTGGTATGCTATACCCAATCATAAAAAGCTTACCGTTACCCAATATTGTGTAAATTTATCCTAGCAAATATTTTTTTTTATCCTGCCAGTAAATCATTCCACGTTCAATTCTTACTTCATTTCTAATCTCCCAAAATAATGCTTTTTTTTCCTCAGATGTCTTTTCTTTTTTCAAGTGTATAAAACTTCAATATCATCAGGGTGTATTATTTGTATTTTTGCTTGTTCACATGTAGATCCACAAGTACATTCACAAAGCAAATATTTTCAATCGCTAATTAATGAATTACCAGTGAAGTGGCTCTTCTATACCTTGAGTTTGAAAGCATTCTGTATTGATAGATGGTGGGCTTAAACTCTTCATATCCTGTTTTACGTTATTTATATGAAGGTCATTGTCATATCACCAGTTTTCATTGCATTTTTGTGTGCCTTGAAGCAGTGTTTTTATGCTTCATTAATCAATAAATATGTTGTTTATGACGTTACTTATTTTTACAGTTCATGAGGCATTTTAATTCACAAAACCATGAACATGTTTTGTACAGAAGGTTAATGAGTACTCGTTTATAGTTTTGAAATATATATTTATGCCATATATTACCAAAGTAAACTTTAGATTTAAGTGTAAAATAGCTTCTCCTCCATTGGCATGTAGACAATCATGTAGATCATATTTATTTTGATTAAGTAGAATGAGTGTGAATAAAAAGTTAAAAGACAAAGAGTTGGTACATGATGTGCCATGTTGGATGTTCTTGTAGTTAAAATTAAAAAATTAAGATAGTATTCTATAGAATGATAACTAATATTTTGGAATGTTGAAAATATGAAATTTTACCACAATTACATATTATTTAAGAAATTATAGCTACCGGTAAATATAGATTTGGTAAATTCAAAATATGGCTTTTTTTAACATTTATAAGTAGAAAATAAAGTTTCAAAGAGATGTTAACAAGAATATTTCCTTTTATAGGGGTGCATTGATAAAAACAAAAGAAGGTCATCAAATTCAGTATGATTTACAAACTTAATATTCACAGCAGAATTTTAAAGAAAATCATCTTTTTTAATAATCTTTCCAGGTGAGGTGATCATCTGTCAAACGCCGAACGTGCTCAAGTTTGACTCCTACAATGGGTCGAACCGTGGAATATCTGGAACTCTCTTCTGTACCAACTTCAAGATCAGCTTCGTCACAGCCAACAGACCAACGCAACATGTGGTTAGTACATGGGTCATTTTAATCCTCCATTAGCCCTCAAGGACCGACCCGTTTTATAGGAGATCACTGACGACCGCACTATCTTTTATGATGCAAATTGGCAACGCAGCTCTGATGATAGGCTTCCTGCCAATAATGGTCATTTTCGTAACTCCCTGAAAAGACTATTTTAGTATTGTATTTCCTCTTTTCCGAATGCAGACAACTTTTTCAAGGTGGTCAAATTGTGCAATTCTAAGGCCTGCTTGAGCATTGGCTGGCATAGCTATGTATATACACAGACATGTACATTAAAGTGAACATATAGTCCTTATCCCTACAACATATTCAGAGGTATGTTCAATACACACCTGTAGTGTACAAATACCAACACAGAACCTCATCCCCCTGACAAAAGTTTGTCATGAGGGCATTTTACGAAATCTATGACATGAATTTATGAAGGAAGATCAAATTTAACTATGGTTATACAGAGACAACTTGCGGCGCAATCTGAACTTGACCAAAGGCCAGGTCTTGTGGAATGGTTTAATCCTCGACACTGAACTAAAATAAACATAGTGTACATATATTACCAGTTCATTGGACACAAGGCCATGTGCATACTGAAGGTTAAAAGGTAGAAGAAAGACCTCCTTCGTAAATTCTAGCCTAAATGTATGATACCAAGTATGTTAAATCTATTGACCATGTTCTCATCTAGTTCCAAGGATAGTTGTGGACCATTGACCATAGCTTTGGTTGGTTTGTGGTGATAAATGGACAGTGAAGATCATCTTTGGTTTGTGGTTATATGGACAGGGTGGTTCATTCTAGCCATAACATCCTTCCTTATGAGACAGGTGCAGGAAGTATTGGATGGATAAGGGATTCCAGCTCCCCCCCCCCCCCCGTCGTACAAAGAGTTGATATCAATTGCAACTTATTTGCGATTGATATCAATAGAAACTGTATGTACATAAGAGATAGGAGTCTGCAAACTTGCAACTCTTTGTAAGACGGGGCCTAGGGTGGGGATATCACAACAAGATTGGTCGAAGACTGTCCCTAGTTCATGTTCATATGTAGGTTTTCTTGCTATGTTCACATGGCACCATTGTAGCATTAAAGTACTGGGAGAATAAGGAGCTCCAGGCCAAGGACGTCGAAAGCCAGATTGGTCCATGACTGTGGTGTATGTCCCTGTAGCTATGCTCACATATTCCTCAGTTTCATGTTCATACAAACACATACATGTACATGTATGTCCCTCTAGATATGTTCACATGGCACCAAAATCGTTTAAAAGTATTGAGAGGATATTAAAGAGGACTCCAAGCTAAGGATATCACAGCGAGATTGTGCTTTGACGCAATTGTAATTTGGTCAAAGCACGATACTTCAATTGAGAATCATCTGTTGGACATAGTTTTGCTCTAACCATGAGATCATGTGTGGTTTTAAAACTTTGAGTAAAGTTAAATTCTCCAAACCAAAAGTGCTTCTGTCATAACTGCTTACTAAATTCTTACATATTTTACAAGATTTAAGGTAGTTCAAACAATGAAGAACCCCGGTTCTTCATGTAAACTACATGAAGAGTCGTCTCATTGTCAATCAGTAAGCTGTATTTTATTTTTCTTGGAAGCCTCAGACAAATCATGTCAGTTGTCTGCAATGACCATGTCTGAGAAGCCTAGACAGGAAGTTACATGACAGCCGTTGGATTAATTAAATTAATGATGAAACCGTTTGAGTTTTCTAGGTCAGCCAGTATCAATGTTATCGTTTACCAATTCAAATGGATTTCCATAATAATAACTAATTGTTTCATGAAACGCCTTCCTGGTTTTCAAGGTTTTCAAGAGTTGATGATATGCTTGATGTGTGTGTTTGTTGGGGGGGGGGGGGGGTGGTATAGGCAGCTTATGATTCTTATAAAGATTTTGAAGGGTTTATGATTATTTACTTGATATATTTTTTTTTCTTTGGGGGGGGGGATGGACAGAACTTTGGTCAGTATATGGTCAAATCAATATTAGAAGAATATATCAGGCAAATATTTATCTTTAGTACTGAAAATGAGATGTCATCCTACTACCTCAAACTGAACCCCTATTCAACTTCAATTTGAGTACTGAAAAAAGTGCCAAGTTTCTAGAAAAACTATTTTCAATACCCCCAAGGCAAATAAACAGCAGTTCACATGATGTTGTGACTTTACAAATCTTTAAAAAAAAAAAAAAAATTCTCAAAGTAAGGCAGTTTTGTCATAATCACTTGAGAATACCGTTATAGAACGACTGAGAGTAACCTTATTAAACACACGGGTCAAAATGAATTTTGCAGATGTGCCTGTTACTGGTTGGTGATGAAATACAAATAACCTACCGGTACTACTACATACATGTAGTATATATTACGTTGTGGCCTATGTGTACACACAATACAAGTACAAGTACAAGATGCACCACGAACCAATTATGCATGTTTGTCTGGTTTGTTTGTGCCTCATATACATGTATGAAGTGTTTTTGTTTGTTTGTTCTTTTTGTTCTTTTTGTTCTTTCTTTTTGTTTCATGAAAGATTCACATGAGTTTCATTGTAGTTCAGGAGAATACAGTGCCTTATGAAGAGCTCTTTCTACTCTATTGATATTTCTTTTGATATCCTATATGTGTACAGTTACTGTATCATTGTTTATAAAGGCGACACCCATTGGTAGTTATTGATTGGTAATTCTAGCACAGTTTAATACAGACAGTATCAAACTTGAAGGTCATATCTCAGCAGCTCTAGGCATTCTTTTCATGTACTCTGTGAATACTTACATGTATGTTCCATGTACTCATATAAAAATGAAACAAAAAATAGATTGAAGAATACACAAAGCAAAATGATCTGCATGTACATGTACATGTAAAGTGCAGATCGTTTTGCTTTGTGTATTCTTCAATCTATTTTTTGGTAGTACTGTACATGTATGTAGGTATCGATTGGTGATAAAATGTAAATTAGCCTTCTTGAATGAGGTGCATGTACTTTGCAATCAATGCCTATTTCCTGTCTTTTTGTTGTTGTATTTTTAGATTGAGCTTGACCACAGAAATCATCTTTTCAAAGAGAATGACATTCCACTTACAGCAGTTAGCCAGCTCTTTCATGGTAAGTCCAACTCTCACATCTATTCATCGATTGTAGTACAATGGAAGACATACTTGACTTATTCCCAAGGTTAAGAACTATGATAGAAAGTAGTATGAATTAAGTCATAGGTATAATACACTAGAAATAGATACTCAATGCACTATACATTATAGTAGACAGATTTGTTATTCCCTACATGTACTATTAGTACATGGCAAGTTGAAAAGTTTACCTACAATTTTATGTCTGATGTCAAATTAACTTGTCCTGTATTTTAATATTCCTTTGGTATGCATTAATACACAAAGAATGATCAGTATGGTAAAGCCTCCTGCATATGGCTTCTCCAACATGGAGGGGGGGGGGGGGATGCTCCCTTCTGAAACGTATTAACAGGCATACATTATGGACACAACAACAATACCAACAAAATACAGCTTTTACTTTAATATGTAATCTTTTGGAATTGGCACCCTTTTTACAAAATTCTAGATTTCCCCCTTGCATAAATGTATAAATTGTTTAATGTGATGTTGATTCTTTTAGAAATTAATAAATAACCTCATTAATCTTGCATATTAATATTTAACTTCTCTTTCCAAACCTAACTCTTCTTCTCCTTTATGAGTAGTCAGTAACGGTAAGCGACGTCAGATGCTCCCTGGGATGGGGTCCACGAGTCATGTCAAGCTCATCGAGATCAGATCAAAGAACTTCAAAGTACACATGTTCAGCTTCAAGTTTGCCCCCAAGAGCACAGTGAAATCGGTAAGAAAAGCATGATGGCCACCCGACCAAGGATTGTGAAGCGAGTGCCAGTTTGCCTGCTGCTTAAAGGTTCTTTTATACCCATTACAGTCAAACCTGCTTTAGCCATCACCTGCATGGAGTGACCACCTGTCTATAAAGACGACATTTTTCTTTTCCCATGAATATAGTTTCTCATTGAAACCTATACTAAAGGAACCTGAACATACAGACCACTGAAGGGTGGCAAGAAGGTTTCACTGAATATTATGTTTGCTGTTTTTGTCCAGATAATGTTTTTGCACGGATTCAAAATCTCTCTTTTTGGAAGAAAAAAAATGTGTACTATTTTGCATGTAAGATTCCTATGGGGTTAACCATTGTAAGCATTTTGATACAATACATTAAGGCTCTGATCACTATACATGTGGGAATCTCAAACAATCTCAATCAAGTAAATCAATATTCCTTCCATCGTAAAAATATGTGTACTTCTTAGGGGTAGTATCTTCAAAAACTGCATGTACAGAGTTGACAAATGAGATAAGTCTATATATTTCTAAATAGCTTTGAGGTTTCAATATACATGTAGATGACTTTTTGAACTTATCAATTTCTTACTATAAATAGTCGACTTTTTTTCAAACTTTCCCTGATTATTTTCTGAGCACCATTTCTGCTTTACTCAAAGCACGTTGTCTGGGTTGGGTTTCCTTCCAACATGAACCCTTGGCACTAAAACATAGCATATAAACATGCCCCAGGGTCCAAGGATATCTACATTACATGGTCTGGATTCTGTAGCACAAAGCGTAGGTCATTGATTTGCCATTTCCTCCAATCAATCGTTCAATCTTTCAATGAGTAATCAGGCTCGGCCTTTCACGAAGAGGTGGTGTGGAGCTGCGGATGTACTGGGACTAGTGATTGATTCCAGGAAACTGAGATCGTGGGTGTAACTAAGCTGTGTATAGATACATGTAGGCTCAGATCTCCTGAATAGTCCCACAAATTTGAAATAGTGTCTGTAGTTTATGTTACTGATTAGAACTGCCAGGATTGTTTTGTATGGACAAAAAGCCATGATTAACTTTTATCTTTCATGTCTTCTTTCTGTCAGGTTGTAGAGTGAAAAACCCTGTTTGGATGGTTGTCTTATCTTGTTTTAATAAATTGAAATCAATAGAAAACAAGAGGTTAATAGGAGAGAATTATGTTTACCTTGTGGAGGCCAGGCTGGTCCATGAAACCTAGAGCAAGAGAGGGGGAACCAGTCCATTTAGACCCTCTTCTAGACTTCCAATTCTTTAATTTTCCATTTCCCTTCACTTCTTTTTATAGTCGAAATAACCCGTTTCTGGCAGGCAAAATGGGATGGAAAATGGGACCTTGGGGGTGTTTGTTCATTACTTAATTCTAAGCGTCATTCAGCGTACTGACCCGTAAGACCCTGTCAGCTAGTCTGGCCTCTGTGGCTGATGAAAGCTCGGCCCATTTACCTGGAGGTACTAACCGATCGCATCATCAGCTGACCTCCTTCTCGATTCTGCCTGTCATGCTTGCGTAGCATCATCTCATCGTCTTGGGACCTGTGGCTGCTCTGAGATGGTCAATCTGTGGTCTGAGATGGTCAATCTGTGGCCTGGGATGGTCAAGCTGTAGTCTATACCGTTTAAGATTTATCTTCATCTTCATCATCATCATCATCAGCTGATGGGCCCCATCATGTTGATTTATCAAATGCAAAGCTTGAGATAACTCTTCTAGGGTCAGGGAGAATGCATCTTATAACCAAATCGAATGAAGTCAGACAGGTGAAGGCGATATAGCCCCAATCTCTTTGTGTAGTCTCCAGGAAAGCATCTGGGAGTTTCTATCGTGCCTTTCCAAGATTGATCTAGGCATACATTGCGTTAAAGCCTCGTTAAGATATGATCTGTTCAGAGCAAGAAGGGCATTAAACCTGCATTTAAGTATATGAATTAATTCCTTTCTGGCTCTAAACAGATGCTATAATGTTGAAATCTACCTGTAACAATAAAAATCTGCAGTGGCAAAATGAAAACATCTTTCATGTAAAATAAAAGGTAAGTGGGGGTGAAAAACATGTAGCGGTATGCAACAAAGGCAGAGTGCACTCACAAATATCTGTGTGTTATAATGTACAGAAATGTCATTACATTTTGCTACAGTGCTCTTGTTTTGAGCGGTATACTGCATTATGTGGGAATAGAGCTTAAAAGTGTATCGATTTGGACAACTTTACAGTACTGTAATTTCACACCTCGACCTGTGTCGGCCCCTTTCCTTCCCCATCAGGTCTGTCTTGCTACGATCAAATCATCCTTATCTTTTCTCATCCTCGTTGTGCCAGGATTATAGGATGAGTCCAGGTCAAAATGGAATTGGTCAGCATTTGACCTCTGAGTATTAAAGATATCTTGTTGAGTAAGGGCTTCAGAAATATGATATTTGTCACTTCCCCATAATTTTATTGGACAATTACATCTGTACGTCTTATTTTACGAGTTCATTTGTTGTAATTTACATGAAGGACAAATACCAAGTGGATATTACACATATGTTTCCAGGCCCCTTTCCTTCCCTCAAGATCTGTCTTGCTACGGTCAAATCATCCTTATCTTTTCTCATCCTCGTTGTGCCAGGATTATAGGATGAGTCTAGGTCAAAATGGAATTGGTCAGCATTCGACCTCGTGAGTATTTAAGATGTCTGGTTGAGTAAGGGCTTCAGAAATATGATATTTGTCACTTCCCCATAATTTAATTGGACAACTACATCTGCACGTCTTATTTTACAAGTTTCTTTGTTGCTATTTAAGCGAAGGACAGATATAAAATGGATATTACACATATGCTTCCAGGCACCTTTCCTTCCCTCCAGATCTGTCTTTCTACGGTCAAATTGTAATCTTTCCTCATCCTCGTTGTGCAAGGATTATAGGATGAATCTCGGTCAAAGCGGAATTTGGTCAGCATTCGACCTCTGAGTAAGATGTCTGGTTGAGAAAGGGCTTTAGAAATATGATATTTGTATTGGATAATTCATTTGCAGTTTCCTCATTAAAATTCATTTGTAGTGAATACAAATGATAGAATTTGGGGTTTCCTTGTGTTAACTGATACCGATGTAACAGTATGTATAAGAATACACCACACAGTTTCCTGTACTTTTAGCGAAGAAGGATTATCATAGAACAGTTCAGTTTGATGGACTTGTATTCATCTTTTGTAAACCAGAATTTTTTGTGTATATGAAATGTACACAAATTTCAAGAATGGCTCAGATTTGCAAAAGTTTCATGCTCCGAAAAAAATTGTACCAAAACTGAAAGGGACTCTCTTTCACAGATCATCTAGCTTCATGTCTGAAAGGTTCTGGTTGTACAGTAACAGCCAGTTTTTATCCATACACTACAGAAGCAAACCCTGTAGTTCCATTTTTCTACTATATTCCTGGTGAATGTTTTTCTGGTGAACCACAGCATCTGCTAAAGTCATTGGTTTGGTGAACTGTATTAAAGGGATCGTTTAACAATGTTAAATCTGAGATACACGGCCCTAAGTGTTATCAGTGTCTGTGATATGGTGTGATATTGAAGCCCTAAAAAAATTGCGCTTCAAAATGATCAAGAAGTGCCTCAAAAAAGTAAAAATCTTTCAGTGACCGGTTTTACCATACTCGTTTTCCCCAATAGACTGTAGTGTTATGAAAACCGTCAGGCGAACGGTTTTCAAAATTTGTAATTCCAATCATAAATATCTTGATAATCAGACAGGCGATCGGCTTGTAAAAGTCATGGGGCTCCTGACTGACCTAAAGGTTTATAATTATCATTGCATCATGAGCTAAATCCAGAATTTTGTTTCAGAATCTGAGACAAAGTTACCGGATCCCTTTAAATCTTAGTCAGAGTCTTCTAATTATGTGAGAAAACAAACAAAAAGGTGTGATTGATCTGCCTGACAGGAAGAGAATGTTTTCTCTGTAAATGTAAAACCATTTCTCTTTTAATAGTGGTGAGTTTGATGGTTTGTCTCACCTAAATGCTAAGAAAGCATGTGTATGCTTGTAAGTAAGCAACCAAGAGTCCAAAGGCTTTAAGTGCTCTTTTCGAGGGACTTGGAAATGAGAATCAATGCCTTACCAGAAGCAGAGGGCCCTAGCACATCAATCTTGTTTTGAACCTGGGACCTACAACAGTTACGACTGCTTTACCACTGAACTATCGCGTCTTCTCAGTTGAAAATCATAAACTTCAGATAGATCCTCTCCCCCCACTACCTTCCCTAGTTTACAACTATGTGTGCTTCTAACGACCCTGTATGTGTGAACAGGAGTAGAGTTACAAACTATTTTAATTCTGTCAAATTAAGCATGAGTCACAGTACCATTGTGTTTACTGAAAAAGTAAAAAAATTCATAAATAACGATAATCAAATCAAACTTGTTGCACTTCTTCTGCCATAGTGTAAAACCCACCTAATCCTTTGCCCCAATTATACAGGAACATTGACAATGAACTTTTTATGGAATAAGACGACTTTTCCGTCAACGCCGTGTCGATAATTCGGAAAGCTTTTGACCGTGACGCTAACTAGCTGATCCACCATGCCCAGCTGTTAGTGTCAGATAGGGGCGGGAGACCGGCAGAGTAACAATTCTGACCTCATTATTCTCAATGAATCATGATAGATAGCCAATATTTTTGTTGGGAGTAATTAATTATGTGATTCATGTGTCTGTAATTGTATAAGCCAGATCCTATTTAGCAAAGCATAACAGACAGTGCTTCATAGCGTATGATGTTTTCTGTGAATTGGAATCTGGCCATGTTCTGGACTCGTTATAAGAACATAAATATTCTATATTTCAGAAAAATGTTTCCATTGTTCTTCGTTTCTATTTTTAGAATAAGAGAAATCAAGCTGACTCCCAGAAAACGATCTAACTCTGGCTTTTTTGATACAATAATGCTCATTCCTGCAATCGGATCCTTT